CGTAGCTATGGCCGGTGGCAAGAACAAGAATTCGAACTCGTTCTCAAACAGGAATTGGAACTGACACTGGCACTGGAACTGAAATTGTAATTGGCATTGGATAAGCGGCATGTACAGAGCGCAACGGTAAATGGTTAAATTACGAACGACATGCAAAAGGCGACGAACAAGCAAAAAGCCGAGCAAACAGCTAACAGCTGTGCTTGCTCGTCTGTCTGACCGAGCGGACGGACAGTTGTAGAGAGCGAACAGACGCTAAATTCCGATAGGCAAACACACTTGATTGCTTATCAGCAGCGGCAGCAGCACCGAGACAGAATAGCGGCACATGGAAAAACGATTATGTAAAGAGCAGCCAGCAAATGGAGACGTTCAGCGGGCGGCAACAGAACAAGCAAGAACAAATTAATCTGACAGTCGAAGACCCAGCCCTGCCCATGCCCATGCCCTATTATGAATTACAACTCCTACACTTACACACACACACACTGAGAGCATGGCGACCCCATTCATAAATGCTTGTGTTTACACACAGAAACAGGCAATGGCAAATCGTTTTCTTCATAATTCATAAGCAAGTTCAAAGTTTTTGTTGCTGTGTGCGCGTCCTAAAAATAAATACAGTTGTATGACGCCAGGCGGCGGCAAGCTGAAGCACTTGGAGAAATTCCAAATGTTTCGTTTAGCTCTTGTATTTCTTTTCCTTTTCTTCGTTTTTTTGCACAAATGAGCACACACAATAACACTTTCAAAGTGCGTGTATTAGTAATAATTTTCGATTGTTTTTAGCTTATGGTTTTGCAACACATTTTGTTTAGCGCTTTTATAGTTTGATTTTATTTTTGGTAATTATAATTTATTTTTGCTTATTGGGGCACGCATACAATTTCACTGAGTACACAGCAAACGTCTCATATTTTTGGTATTTTTAAATTACATACATATTAAACAAAAACGCGCACGACGCTTACGAATTTCTTTTGGCACTATTCATTGCTTACGGCGCAACGCCGTCAGTTGGCAAAATCTTTTGAAATGCACACATCGACGACGCACGCGGAATGACAAAGGCTAGGCAATGCCCCAAACCCGTTGGCGGCGGCTCCAACAACAGCTGATTGCGGTGTGAATGTCAAAACGGCGAATGACAACACCAGCTGATGCCAGTGTGACCAGCAGAATTAAAATTTAATTCGGCATTTTAAATAATAATTCAATATGCCTTTCTTTTGAAAGTATGTTTTAGAAACAAAAAAGTCAATGCCAAATATTTAATATTAGCTCTGACCAAATTATAAATGAAATATAAATATGCTCAAATATTGTTTATCTTGTGCGAATGGCAAAGAGAGCTTTTCCAGTTCGCAACACTGGACATACGAACAAGTATTGTGATATGATTGAAAGAAAGCTTGGCGCAATTTTTAAATATGTATTGCGATAACATTTGAGAATTTAGCTGCTCACACATCATATATGAATATTCAACAGATGGTTAGCAAAACAATTTTACGTTACAAATTACACTTTGATATACAATATTATATTGGTATGTACATATTAAAATCGTATAAGTAAATTTTGGAGACGCATCAATAATACTTTGTCACAAATTTATTGGCGTCAAAAACGCGGCACATTTGCAAAAAATAGAATACATATAGAATTTATTTTTATCTTGCTTTGCGTTGCGTAGATAAAAGCGAATTGCGTTTTGTCTTTCATGCGGCAGAGATAAACAATTTTTTTTAAAGATCTTTAAAAATGAATAAAACTTGGCAAAAAACAAGAGATAGAGGATATACAATATATGAATATATAAATATATATTCTATAATGACAATATGACAACAAACTGATTCAATTCTTGCTCTATTATATAACTATAGCAACGGATTGAGAAATTCTTACACATACAAAATGAGTTCAATTGAGCTGAGCAATTATGAAGGGATGGATATTGGGCAATTAAAGTATAATATAGTAGAGTATATGTATATAGAATTATATTTTATAAGCTTATCAGACAAGGTCAGACAATTTGTTTAAACTACTTCAGAAACTATTTATAGCGTTTGAGTAACTTAATATTAGTATTGCTGATTAGTGCAGTACTCACGGAAATAGTTTAGGCACTCTCTAGTCTGTTCCTTGGTCAATCCGAGACCCTCGACCGGAATGGGCAGCGCTGGAGCTGGCACAAACCAATCTTCATTCGCATAGCCAGAGAAATCAGTGAGGAAATCATTTCGCACTTTATATTTGGGTATCTGTTCCTCCAGCAATGAAAATATTTCCACCTCCGGCAAATTCTCGTTACTGCACAAATCTGTGAGGGTGTGAACAGATGGAAGTAATTAGCAAGCGGTTAATTACAGTCAAACAATTGCACAACTCACCAGTTAGGCAACTGGCATCCGCGGTCTGTGGTTTGTTGGGCGTCGTCGCCTGTTGCATGAGTCGCTTTGTTTGCAGCTTGGGTAAGTGTTTGCTGAGCGTCGCCTGCGCCGAGGGACTGAGCGGCATTTGGCCGCCATTGGCCCCCAATGTTGCGGATAGCATAAATGTTGAAGAATTCTAATATATTGTCGTTATCGATACCGATATAAATATAATCGTTTTATCGGCTGGTCAATGTGTAGTTAGTTGATTTTCTGCAATTGGAAATGTACATCGGCTTGTTAATTCACCGACACTCAAACGTAATGAAATATTTAGCCAACAGCTAGCAACAAGTAGCACCCAGTCTACGCGCGTTTTCCCCATTTGCTTTCTATTATTGAGTGGGCGCTTATCTTGCTGCCCAAGTTTCGATGATAAAGTCAACGTCAAAGCAATGATTATTAATACTATAAATATTAGTGAAACGTCAAAGGATTTTAGCGTTAATTTATCACAAGCATAATTCGCACATTTACACACAAGTTCTGCTGCCAAAGCTAGCTCCAACTCAATATCACTTATCATTACAACTGATTATTTAAACATATTGATTGATTAAATTTTTTTATTTTTTTTTTTTTTTTTTTTATCATTATTATGCGTATGAAAAATCATTATCTTCTTCAAGATACCACAAGCATCCAACAAGATAGCGATCATAGGACTAAACAGCGATGATTTGTCTCGATAAATAACTCCCAAATATATATAAATTCATACATTATATTATTTGAAAAGGGATCAATATATTTTTCCTATAATTTCCCGAGCACATTCAGAAATATTAAAAGCGTTGCGTGTTGACTGTCGTGCAAATGCTAACTGATTTATCATTGTCCATCTGACAGTGGGTTAAATGGAGTCTGCACGAAGAGAACTCCAACTGAATTGAAAGTTCGATTGGTAATTGTTGCTGGCTTCTTATTTAAGAGTATGAAGTCAAAGAGAGATGGCCAAAAAGCAGACAGACACTCAGACTACGTGCCGAACACGGCGTATACGTATCGCAGCAGACTCGCCAGCTCGCAAACGAAGCGATATAATATAACACGGTGCGGCGCGGCGTGCGGAAAGTAAAACCGTGTAATTAAACTGTAAACAAAACACAAACAGCAAGCAAGCACTCGCTCGAATACTATTTATTAGTGGGAGCGAAATTTCGGCGAAAAGTTGCACTTCCTCTGCCCAAAAGCTTTTCAAGGCAATTCGAAGTCAATGGCGCTGACGCACAAAGGCCGTTTTAATAAGAGCATGTGACGCTGACGCGAACGGCGATGTCGACGGCGACGTCGACTGCATGGAAAGCAATAGCCACTGCGAGCCACAGCTGAGGTATTCCCTGACCGTCGCCGTTAGATCAAGCGAGCACAAAGGTTTCGCGATAATTGCGATAACAACAAACGAATTTTGCGATTGCTTATTTTATTTCATTTTTGTTTTTTGCTATCGACGCTTAGCCAATTCCACTGCAGCAGCTGCATTGCGTAATAGAAATTTACATATAGACAGAAGCAAACACAAACACAACAAACTCGTAAATGTGAATGTGAGGAAGCCGGCGATGTCAGCAGCGAAGCGAATGATATGTAAGGGAATAAGGGAAAAAAATAGCAAATTGCTATTGGCTGCCGTTGCTCTTGTTCCCGTTGTTGTTGATTTTTGTTCTCGCGCGTCTTGTTCGAGACATTTTCCACTTAATTTTTTTATTTTTATTTTTTAGCTGTGTTACGTTTCATTTCACAGTCCACTGTTAAGCGCGCGTTGCCAGCGAAACTGAATGGATGAATGGCATAATTCTCTAAAATAAATTTGAAAGCCAAAGGCAAGCAATGGCTGGCTGCAGCAATGGCGACGCTTGCCAAAAAACAAAAAAAAGAGAAGAAGCCAAATACTAATTTGTTAAAGTTTCGTTTCCCTTTGTTGGCGTCAGCTTGTGCTTAAATAGTTTTGCCTATTGCTGCTGCTGTTGTTGTTTTTGTCTTTCCTCATTTCGTTCTGGCTGTTTTTACGGTGTACTCAATTTTTTGGCATACGCACCGACACACACACAATATACACATATTTACCGCACACTTATATAAGCAGCGCTGCCATCGAAGACGACGCCGCCGTCAGTGGAGCAGGGTCATTAGACGACACCGTTGTAATTTGTAAAATGAATTTATTTAAAGTGTGTTCCGCATGCATTGCCAAACATGAATCAGCTGGGCTGGGATTTGGAATGGGGGATGCTGCTGCTGGTTATGCTCAGTAGGGGAGGTCAAAAATGGGATGCGTGGGCGCAGGAATGTATTGTGCGTATTCATATGACACTGGGTGTGTGTGTTTGTGTTTGGTCGAGGAGCGCGCCCACTACAAATGTGCGATTATAAAACACTGTCATCATTTGCTCAGCACTCAGCACTCGCGCACTCATTCATCAGCGTGAATGTTACTCATATTTCATAATTTTTTCCAAGCTTGTTTTGTTTTGAACATGTAACCCACACAATCCACGAATTATTGAATTTTCATTTTCAGCAGAACTTTATCGTTGTTGTTGCTCGACAATACCTACATTTGTTGTAGTTGTGCATGTGTTTGCCATTTTTTATTTTTTTTTATTTCGATGTGTTGTGGCTGCTTTCACACTAAAAATCGAAGCGAAAACCACATGCCAATGTTCTCTCTGCACAAGCGCGCGTCAATCGATGGAAAGAAAAACTAATTGTAATTTGTTTAGCTAGTAAAATATACACTTTGTGTTTGTGTGCGTCGAGTCACATTGAGTTTAAACTAAATAAAATAATCGTTGGTCTAAGGAATTTGCTTTTTTCTGCAGCTGCAGCCAATATCTTGCGCACACTGGTGGTGGAACGAAACGCGATTGTCAGCCTCTTGATAGCCATCGATGTTTTGGTATACGACTTTTCCTCATATCGATAACTTTTTCGATATTCTTTTTGGATAATCGTTGTACATTTTACGTTTTCAAAAATATATATTTTCTTTTATAAAAAGTATACCAATCTTCGCTAATTGCAGTCAATTACTTCCACACAACATTTTGAGAGCGATCACGGATTGTAAATAGCCTTGGTTTGAAGCAAAAAATGTCAAATTTGATTTTTATTTTTGTTTTAAATTCTTGTCTACAAAATATTTTATTTTTTTGTTTACATAGCATTTTACATTATGTAGCGCTGTCTAAAATCATGCTTTAGGGTAAAATAATTAAAAATTTTTAATGTCTCAAAATGTTTCGAATTAAAATCCAAATAGATTTTTTGGCGTATTAGGAATGCCTAATTATCTGATGCATACATTGTTATATATATTATGTATATCTTTAATTGTAATGTAATTGTATTTTGATTTGCCCCATATATTCTTCAGCTAGCGGAGGACAATTACACGAGTTCGGAAAGTCTTTCAAAAAAATGTTAAAATTATTTCAAAACTTGGTTGTTTAACGAATAATAACAATATTTAGTTGCATAGTGTTGCAGTTGCAAATCTATTGCCTTCGCCTTTGCCTTTCCCGTCCGTTTAATCGTCAGCATTTTTGCGTGTCGAGGCAATCAAATCGACTGCACTGATAGCATCCGGAAACATCGAGTGATAGTTGATAACTGGCACGTACGCCGCCGTGATCACACGGCCTGCGAACCAGCGTCCGTGCAGCGCATTTACCGCAAGCACCGCTGTCGTCGTACTCGGACATTTCACGTAAACCGTACCCGTTGGTGATACAGTGTCCACGTGTATATGCAGAACGCCACCGTGCTTGGCGCATTCGTCGAGCACATCGTCACGCACATCCGTAGCCCAGGTGGGATTTGTCTCGGTGCGCGGATCAAACATGTTGGACAGTATAAAGCACTGAGTAGCTATGGATGGCGTCTGTTGTTGCTGCAGCACCGGCGCAGGCTGTGGAGCTGTTGCCAGTAACGCATTGGCTGCAGCCTGTGGTACGGCCAGGCCTGCGCCCTCGGCTAGCTTAAACATCAGCTGTAAACGTCCCGTGGCACCCAGATCAATGCCGCTGCGATCCATTTCATCAGTGTCCAGCGAACTAGTATTCATGTCTAAACGCTCTGTCACATTGCCCACTTTCATTGGCCGTCCCGCCAGTTCAAAGCCGTTCAATTGCTCCAAAGCCTTTTTGGCATCATCTGCGTTGTGATACTATAAATTAGAAAAATATTAATTGTTAATTTTACAAAAATATTGAAAATTTTTAGTAGTACCGTAATAAAGCCGTAGCCCTTTGATCGACCCGTCTCAGTATCCATAATCAACTGGATAGCATCAATTTTGCCAAAAGGCTCAAATATGCCACGTAGCATGTCCTCGGTGATGTTGAAGTGCAGCGATCCCACATATAGTCGCATGGGTCCTGTGTGAGCCTTGGGCTGAAATGGAGGCGGCGCACTCTGCAGTCGATTCTTCTCTGCCTGTGTATGCTGCACCATGATCGGTACGCCCAGCAACCGCTGTCCCGACAATCCCAGGGCTAATGCCACAGATTCCGGGTCCTCAAATTCAATGTACGCAATACCCTTGAAGCGTTTAGTCTTGTTGCACGTAATTAGACGCACATCGCGCACCTTTCCCACGCTGGAGAAGAACTCCTCTAGATCACGGGCGCGCACACGCTGTGATAACTGAATGCAAAAGACTGTCCGTGCATCGCGCTCCTCAGGACTGAGCTCAGTGGGTGGTGTGCGATCCCCAATGCCATTCGGCGGCGATCTGCCACCACCACGTCCGCGTCCGCCATATGGTCGTGGCGAGTAACTGGTGCGACGGCGACTGCTATACGATACAAATTAGAACAAAAGATGACAAAATTAACATCATATGATAATTATAATATAATTACGCCATACTTTGTATCCCTGGAGCGTGAATGGCTCCGCCGACGTTCGCGTATGGGACTCATGCGCTTGCGCTGCAGGTCACGCGAGCGACTGCGACGACGCTTGTCACGAGATCTGCTGCGTTTACGCTCACTATCCCGTTGCATACTCTTGCTGCCGCCATGCCTTTCGCGTGAACGCCGATCACGATCACGATCACGATCACGATCACGATCACGATCACGATCACGATCGCGATCGCGATCGCGATCATTGCGTCCACCACGTCTGTCATCGCTGGGACGTTCGTCGCGTGTGCGACTGCTGCGTTTGCCATCGCGATAACGTTGATCTCGTTGATCGCGCTCCCGTTCCCTATCTCTATCCTTTTCACGATAGCTGCTGCGCTCACTGCCGCGCTCCTTCTCGCGTTCCCGATCCTTGGAGCGTCTGTGGCGCGATCCACTACGACTACTGTTATGGGAAAATGCAAGAGAATACAGTAAATTCAATTAAAATGATTTCAATTTTTAAGAATTTTCATTCAAGTTTACCGTGAGCGATGGCTCCGCTTTTTGTTGCCATTTGAGGAACGCGTTCCGTTCTCCGCATAGCGTTCATCCTCCTCGTTGTCATCGTGCCCTCCGCTCTCGCTGCCGCTGCTGCGCCCGTGTCCACGTCCAGCGCTGCCCGCACTGACGTTCTACAGATAGGGTTTTGGTTTTGGTATTTGGTTGGTTGGGTGGAGACATGGGAGGTGGAAGTCGCAAGCAATAATGTACATACATAGAATTGGATAGTTTCATTTGTTCATGTTTTGTGGGGGACATGGAGACACAAACACACATAACGTTTCGGTTCGCCGACGATCCCACGTTACGTTGTTTTCGTTTTTGTTGTTGTATTCATTTTACAATATTTGTTCAGGTATGATTTGTATTGTTTATTGTAAAATATTTTTTTTTGTTTTTTTTTTCGATTTTTTTTTTTTTTTGAATAAGAGAAAGCAAATCAAAGTAAATTAGTTAAATTTTTGGTATCTGCAAGTATATAAAATAGAAATGCTTAAGTCAACAATGATCGGTTTACAGATCATTGCCAATTTACAGCAATATAGCAATAGAGTAATAGTAATAGTAATACATATACGATTAATACAAGTATCAAATATCGACAGATTTCTTCGAGACGCTTGTCTGCCTTGTAGAGAGGTATATATATACACATATGTACCTAAGAAATATATATGTATATATATAAATTTGAGTACATCATATCACGTATACCTATCTATTTATGTATAAATTGATAGATAGGCTTTGGAGCACACACATAGATAAGTAGATCACGGCGAAATGTCTCCACACATATTTCAATATTCGTTTCGTTTATTGGGTATTAGCGCTGGCTAGTGGTTGGGATGGTTTGTAGACTGGTTGCTTTGGCTCTTATTTGACTCTAAAGACTCTGGCCACCACATCGCAGGCGCTCACGTCTATATGGGACATACATATACATAGATATAAGTTATAAGATATATATGTGTAGTGAAATAAATTGATGTTTTCTTATTACGTTTTTTCTTTCAATTTTTAGAGGCTTTTGATTTTTGGTGTGATTTATATATATTTTTTATATTAGGGCATTTCAGACTCGACTCCTGAAAGAGCAGTGAAGTGGACTTGTGAGACTTTCTTTCATTCTTGTCTGTCTGTGAGTGAGAGTAGTAGTAGAGCTGCCTGCTGCCCCAGACAACAATAGGTAGAGTATATCTGAAATTTAGTGCACGTTCAGTTTTCATTTTTTTTTTTTTTTTTTAAGCAAGTTTAAGAACAAATTCATAAAAACATAACAGAAACAGAAATCATACAGAAAACAAATGCCTACATGTTTTGGTTTTATTTTCTTCAAATGTTTTTGTTTTTTATTTTTATTTTTTTCGCAGTTTCTGGTACATTCAAAACTTACCAAATGGTCTCCAGCTTTTTGTGTTTAGAATGACCAAAACAATCACTAGCAACAATATTGAGCTTATACGATTTCTGCAAAGACATTTCACCCTTAAGAATTATTCTCGCTTTTTGTTTTAAAAGTTTTCTTTTATTTTGTTGGGTAGTGTGATATTATCTTATTAACTTGCACATTGCAATTGTTTTATTTTAATTTTAAAAAGAGATAGAGACAGAAAAGAGAGAGCAACCACTCAGCTATTAAGTTTGAATAATTTCATATTTTGAAAACACTTTTCATGAAAAGTAGAAATCATATAGACATGGCATACATAAATAACAATATTCTATCTATTTCTGATACTACCTGGTATATGCAATACCAAATACCACACTACATATATAAAAATTACAATGTATGAAGCCGCTTTTTTGTGATGAAAGCTTATCAACCTGTTTTGAATAAAAGACTGCATAGGTTTGAATATGAATTTCTTAATTCACATTTCCTTATCAAATTACTACTTGACACTTTATAAAGATAAGAAATTAAAGAACCAGCCTAACAAACGAAAGCCTAAAATAAAACTAAAGGTAAGGTAAGTATATGATATATTGCGATTATGTGCAAATTAATACTAAAACAAACAAGTCACACGCACACACTCGCCCACTAATGTACGTGGGGGTTTAATTTAGGCAACGCATTTAGTCATGTATAAAATATATAAAGGCGATAACCACCGGCCGACCTTTGTAAATCGATGTCGTCGATTGTCGATTGCACTTTTAGAATTAAGGCTTAAAATCGATTTAAGAAAGCCACTTCAATGCAATAGTCACACACACACACAACCACACACAAATGCATACATAAGCGCATAAAGGCGTTAAGAAAACTTTACGTGTCTGTGCCTGAGTGCCTGTTTTTCAGACATCTTACATACATTCATATGCATGTATGTATGTATATCACATGAGAGCGCGAGAACGCTTGTAGATGTCTATTTGGGAAAGAAGTATACAAATTTTCATAAAATATACCATTGTCGTAGGAATAACATAATTGGTACATACCGTTTCTTAATTAATATATATATCTAGATAACGAATAGCTACACTTACGTTTTTTTGGTACGGCGCTTCCAGCATTGCTTCAACATCAAAGTCTTCGGCCATGTTGAATTTTTGGGACGGGAACAAACTCCCCAAGTAGTTGTCTAGCACGTTTGAAGAAACCAAAAGTTTTGTTGGTATGCACACCACAACTCGAAGATTCACTTACGAACAAGGGTTTCAATTTCTTTCGAAGATTAATGACAATTTCCTTATATTTTAATATTTTTTCACAGCGTGGCTGGCTATGTTGTGTTGCTTCAGGGTTGATAATGAATACACATCGATACCTACAACTAGTGATGTGAAAAAACATCGATGCATCGACAATCGATGTTTTTTTGGCGATGTTTTCCGATGTTTTCCGATGTTTTTATTGATACCGATGTTAAGCGATGCATCGATGTTTGACAGAACATCGGGCGTTAAATTTCACAACATTGCAGAACATATGGATACACTGCCACATAGAAAAATTCGCGAATTTGTTTCTTTTTTACCCTGTGTTTGCAATGCCAAAGTAAGTAATTGTTGAAAATATATATAAATATAGTTATTTGCAATTACAAATGTATTTATTCTAGAATAACAACAAAGACAAGCTTTTGCTGGAGGCACTTTACAAAATTGATGGAAATAGCGCGAAATGCAACATTTGCAACAAAGTTTTGAAGATTGCGGGTAACACGACCAACATGAAGGACCACCTGCGGTCCATTCATAAAATAGAACAAAATGTTGAAGAAATGTTGTTTAAGAATTGAATTAACGAAAAATAACGGAATTGGTAGAAAACATCGATACATCGATGTTTATAGCCGATGTTTTACACAACATCGATTTATCATTTTGCAAACATCGATGAACATCGACATCGAATTTTCGACCCAAATTTACATCACTACCTACAACGGTATCGATTCTTTGTCTCACATGTAAAATTTAAAAATTTAAATATGGTACTAATTAACAGAAATAAATATTTTACTAATATTTATATTAAAATAACAATTTGAACAACATTCATTTGAACAAGTTTGTTATATAATATAAATTATTAATTTAACTTGCAGCTCTAACCTGCCTTCAAGAGGCAACTATAGCGTTGCCATATCACCATCAGATTAATCGATTTGTTTATATTTACATATACGCATCGAAATTTGCGATTTTCAGAATTATTTTCATTGCTTGCATTTACGACCGTTTGAATTGAGCTTCATAAACGAAAGTAGATCGTGTCGAACAGGTGCCAAATTGATTGAATGGCGGTACGCAGTCCAAAACGTATTCCCAAGAACTTACACTGCTGGCAGTGTTAATTGTTGAGTCATCAGCGTCCCAGTCAATAACACAGAGCAGAAGAAGAGTTGCAGCAGCCTTGGAGGTAACGGCGAGCGCTAGACCGTATACGTAGGTTGCGTGTGAAGAGCGCACCACTACCACAGCCACAGGTGAGAGGCAGTTGCGTAAATGAAAAGTGGCGTAAGCTGCATCTGCGGGTGAAACTCCAACGCAACCCAGCAACTAAACCATCCCCAATACGAACGCGCCAACGTTTACACACACGTTACGGGTGGCTAACTAAGGTGTGTCTAAACCTATGTAAAGCTCTGTATACTAGTTTCTTTTTGTTTTCTCTTTTTTTTGTTTTACATTTTAGCAGAACTCAACGGCAAATGGAGGACTACAAGTTCCTATTTAAAATTGTGCTCGTAGGCAATGCAGGTGTTGGAAAGACTTGTCTGGTGCGACGCTTTACTCAGGGTCTATTTCCGCCCGGACAGGGAGCTACAATTGGTGTGGACTTCATGATTAAGACCGTTGAGGTCGAGGGCGAAAAGATAAAGCTGCAAATCTGGGATACAGCCGGACAGGAGCGCTTTCGTTCCATCACACAAAGTTACTATAGATCGGCGCACGCGCTGATACTCGTTTATGATATCAGCTGCCAGCCCACGTTCGACTGTTTGCCCGACTGGTTGAGAGAGATCCAGGAGTACGCCAACTCGAAGGTGCTCAAAATTCTGGTGGGCAACAAGACGGATCGCGATGATCGTGAAATTCCCACGCAAATAGGCGAGGAGTTTGCTAAACAACATGACATGTACTTCCTGGAAACATCCGCCAAAGAGGCGGAAAACGTAGAACGCCTGTTCTATGAAATCGCCGCCGAGCTAATTGGCCAAGCGCGCAGCAAGGACGGCACCAGTGCCGCAGCTGCAGCTGCACAACGTCAGTCGGATGGCGGTGGCTCCATTGGACTGGGCAGCTTAAGTGCCAAAGCAGCTCAGAGCAACTGCTGCGGTGGATCGAGCAGCTCGAGCAGCGGCAACGCTAACTCCAACTCCAACTCTAGTCAAGGCGGCTGAGCAGGGAATATAGCAACAGAAAGTCGACAAATGGCAGCTTTCAGCTGAAAAGCAACTCAATGACTATGGATGCTAAATATTTGTGTTAAAAACTCCATTGGATGTGTAGTTTTAGTACTCCTTGATTTTCTCTTAGTATTATTTGTTATGTATAGATCTGAATCGGAGATCTGGTTGGTGACAGCATCACGAGTTTATGCTTTAAATTCATGTTTATATTGAAAACATCATCATAGCAATGCAATGCACATTTTGTTTTTATTCCTAGAGTATTTAACTGTGTATTTAAAATATTTTTTATATGTTTATACAAATGCGTATTTATTATAATTTTTATTAGCAATAATTTATACATATGCAATTTAAATGGTATTTACGCGGACTGGCGTAATAGTTTATAAGACGATTTTATGACATTCCAAAAATTAAACATGTAGTTCAATGTGAAACGAAATGAATAACTCACTTTGTAATTAAATAAACCCAAATACAGTTTTTAATGTGCATCTGAAATGTATTTCGATGAGAGTTGGGCAGATCTACAATCTATGTAGATAGTTATATGGGGAAAAGTATTCATGTTTTAACAGAGTTTCCCTTCCCTGAATAAACCGATACATTTTATAGACGTAGATGTTTTATAATTACTTGGGAAGTTATGATTTTCTTAAAGTTTCTTTACTCAAATACCACCAAATATCTCCCTGAGTGAAACGATATCGTTGAATATCAAGTTGTTTCTTTCATTTATTAAATATTGGTATTTTAAATTGGTACATTTGTCGCTTGATGACTTTTCTCTAGGAGAAAATTTCATGCTTAGTATTAAGCTCTCTTTGTATAAACTACAATATCGGTTTTGTGTGTATATTCGACATTCAACTCTAAAAATATAATGGTGTATATAGTTTATATATATGTATAAATATATATATATATATATATATATATATATATATATATATATATATATATATATATATATATATATATATATATATATATAAATAGAGATATGTATGTGCATGTATATTGGCTATATATGGTAAATATGCTTGTATAATGTCATGGTAGCAAAAAGGCATACGGGTATAGCATAATCAAAAGAGTATATAATAATAATATAATATAATAGATAGAAAAGTTGTAGCTGCAGTTGTTGGATTAGTTTCTTAGCTAGCATTAGAGTCTGTTAGCAGGCCACACACGAACACATACACAATAAATTATATACATTTATGCATAAATAAAATACATGTAAATGCTAAAAATTAATATAATAATAATAATAATTTCATTTAATACAAAGATTATGAATAATTAAACCATTTTAAAAAGTAAACAACAATTTGGGTCGGCCCTTCACAAAATATTACATTCCTGACAGCCTGGCACTTTCGTTATCTATATATGTGTGTTTCAATATATATATATATAGATATATATAGGCATATATATATATTTTTGTTTTGATTTGATTTTGGATGTATGTGGTATGTGTGTCAGAGCTGGCGTGAGATTCGTTAGCTTGTGATATGATTGCGACCGTCGCCGTCGCCGTCGCCTCTATGCTTCCTTGCTTTAATGCTACTGCAGCATAAGGGCATTTAAATTCCGCTGCAGTATCGTGTCCTTCACCGAATTGAACACCACGTTGATGTTGCGCGTGTCTATGGCAGTGGTAAAGTGATGATAGATTCGGCTGGTGCTGGTGCTGCGGCGCACGCTCATGAACATTTGCAGCATGAAGTTTTGGACGTCCAGCAGTGAATGCGGATTGCCATTAAATTGCGGATAGTACCAGCGTATATCAGTCTCTGGATTTCGTACTTTTTGCTCGAGCAAATCGGTCTTGTTTAGAAACAATATTATTGAAATGCCTCTGAACGTGTTGTTGTTCACAATGGTATCGAAAATATTTTTGGACTCTTCCAGGCGATTGGTTTTCCTGCAAAGCCAAGCAAATCCACATTAACATCTTAACACCCGCTCTCACATTTCAGTATTTCCCACTCACCTGTCCTCGGCAAGCACCTGATCAAACTCTGAGCTGGATACTAGAAATATAATCGATGTGACCGAGGTATCAAAGCATCTGGTCCACTTTTGACGTTGAGTGCGCTGTCCGCCCACATCCACAAACACAAATGGAATGTTCTGCAACAGAAATGCACCATTAAAAAAAATGAAATACCACAAAGCAATCAAATCTACGCCACAATTGCAGCTCACCTGTACTTTGACACAAAACTCGTAGACACCTTTGGTTGCTTTGCGACAGTGCAGTATGTCTTTGTGTGTGGGCACATAATCCGGTTTCGCCAGCCGTTCAATTTCGTCTAGAAAATAGCTGACCGAATCGCTCTGCAACAGAGATAATCTTTGTTTATAATATTATGCAATATTTTGTAAAAAGGTTTATAGAAATAAATATAGAAATGATGCGCAACAGAAATCCAAGTTATAAGAACTATTACCTATTTTACACTAATTTTTTGATTTTATCGTAAACTTTTAAACTCTTAGCGTATCACATAAAACTGCGTAAGAATAAAGTTATTTATTGATATAAAAAACTGTATACTTTTAGAGAAACTACAGTAATTCCAGTCTATTCAATCTACCCCGAGCTTAAGAGTTAAGAGCCAAGGCTTATGTTTAATAAAAATTACGTATACATAAAGTTTCTTGTAGGCATTCAAATTGTTAATACAATTTGATTGGACAATCGACAATAAATTATTTTTTAATTTTGAGGAAACGGTGCTAAATAAATAAATTCCAATAATTATAAACAAAGCACTATTTACATAGTTTGCGTAGTTGCCTACGTTGTTTATAATTATTTGAATTTATTTACTAAATAGATTTGATTGTTTTAAATGAAAACATGCTAGGTCTTAACGCTA